CTTAAGTGATGTGCCCATGGTTATGTGGTGAGCCAGTGGCAGGGATGAGAGGGATGAATTTGAGTCCTCTGCCGTGTGCACTAGCTTTTCCACTCACTGCCAATGAGCCCAGAGCACTTAAGTCACTTGCCTACCATCATCCCTGGCATGACGCTGGGTCAATACTTTTGGGGCAGAGAGGAAACCCCTGGCAGGGCAGGAATCGTGCCATCTCCCTTGCCTACGCTGCCTCCCTGCAGCAAAATGTGGGACAGCCCCTGCACCGACCTGCACAGCCGGACTCTGCTGGCACTATGGGACCATAGGGCAGTGGCCCAGTCAACTCATGACCGAGCTCCCACCATAGGGGATACCTTGGAGGCACCAGGACGCAGCCCCAGACCTCAGGCCACCTGCCCTGGGAGCATGTGTAAAACGAGCCAGCCGGCTCCCCCTTGCCAGTGGGGTCTCCGAGAGATCGGCAACCCTCCTTGCCCGTGGTGGAATAAGCTGCGGGCAGGGTCCCGCTCATCTGAACCTCTGCAGGCTCAAGGGGTCTTCTGATCGGGCCGAGGCCAGGTTTTCATCTCGGTGCAACCCCACAGCAGCTCCAGAGAGACCGACCTCAGCCAGCCCCCGAGGGACAGAGGACCCACGAGAGCGTTAGCGGCGCTGCTTCTGCTCCGAGCGGGGTGTTTACGGAGGATTTATTTGCAAACCTCGGAACAGGTGGCCGTCTCCACCCACAGACCGCAGCTGTGCCAAGAGCATACCCCTTCTTCCCTGCCCACCCCCTTTTTTGGCGCTTCACTTAAACTAACAAGCAGCAAAGCAAAAGCACGGAGAAGCCATGTGAGGAGAGCCCCAAGGTGCCTGCGGGGAGAGAAAATAAGACGTGCAGAACTATATATAGCTCAAGAAGGGGGGTGGCAAGGAGAGACAAGCATGTAGCTGGCAACTCCATGCAAGCTCCGTCTCGTGGCCTGCTCTAGCCCGCCAGGCCTGCCCACACAGGCTGGATGGGTTCATAGCCAACCCCCCCCCCCCGCTCCAGAGATACAAGTTGCTTCTTCACGGGGATCTATTTTTAATGCCCTTGCAAATGCCACGCCTAAACGCAACCTCGTTTCCCAGCACCAGAGGACAAGACCCAGATAGAGGCCTGGACGACCTGGATGATCTGAAAACACCTGGGGCTGCTGGCATCGCTCCCAGGGCAACCTGTCCAGAAGCCTGCCAAGGGCCAGCTGGACAATACCCTCGTCCAGCGGAGCAAGGGAAGCCCACCAAGCCCCGGGACAGCCGTGGTGGGGGCTCACCCACATGTATACATACCCGGCACACAAACAGCGACCCCAGGGTCATCAGCTGCTCTAACTATCGCAGCCTCGTGCCATTTGCTGCTCAGTTCCTAGAAGCCTGTGACCAGGCTCAACTCGCCTCTTCCAGGAAAAAAGCCTGTAGGCCCCACGTGCTTATGAAAAAAAACAACAACCCAGAAAGCTTGAAGACATGACCCAAGGCAACCCAAGGGCTGCGAAGCCAGGCAGGCAGGGAAAGGACGTCGCTTTGAGCACCATCACCCTCCAGTGTTCAGAAACTGTGGCTCAAGCCCCAGCTCTAAGATGCACAGCAACCAAAAAAGGGTTTGTTTGCTCTTTTCTTGGTTGCCTCAAGAAGGCTGGATGCCAATCCACCATCCGGGAGCATCTGAGGTTGGACTAGGCTGGGACAGGGACAAAGAACAAACAGCTCGGGGCCCCAAACCTGAAATCCCTGAATTCTGCTCTGTTTTACAGGGGGAAAGCCTGAATGCTGCCCGGGGCAGGACTAGGCTTCAGGATGGGGCCTGGAGACTTAGGTGGGGAGGAAAAAAAAGAAAGAAAGGGCAATTTCAGTTCCTCCCAGCTGCCGTTTGTTTGCTTTTTGCACAACTGCGGCACTAGGATTCACTTTCTGTTTGCAGTCAGCTCCGTTTCCGGCAGCGGTTCACGAGCCAAGTGCAATCATGATTAGCTTCCCAAGGTCGTTGCAGAGACGGTCATGTTTTCTGACACAAACGGGCTCCCACTGCTCTTCTGGGCGTCAAGAGAAGGCTGTGCCCCCGGCCCCACTGGGAAGCAGGACATAGTGGGCAGGTGGAGGCCAGGAGCTGGGGGGGGGGGCGACAACACAAAGCACACCCCCTCACCCAGCCAAGTCCATGCAGCCGTGCAGGGGAACCTCGCTGCCCCCCTGCCCGAGTGGCTGGCTTGGTGGGACCCAGAGCAAGCCCAAACTGAGCTTCTAGATTTGCTTGCCACGAGACTCGATTTGCAAGCGTGTTACCACATCCTCACTCAGGCTCGCAGGCTCCACCGCTCGGCTGCCGTGACTGCCCCAGGCACGGCTGTGGGATGAAAGCCAACTCCCAAGTGAGGAGGTGGGGGGCTGGGGCAGCCCCACACAGAGTGAGCAAGGAAGAGTTGGGGCGGCGGGTGCTTCTCCTCTCCCTTTGACTCTGGCACGTGCCCAAAGGCATGCATATGCCCCCAGCTTCGCATGAGCCAGGAGAGGGCTGCCACTGCCCTAAGCCTGGGGTCTCCTTTCAAGCTGGGGAGGGGGGGAGTGGCAGAACAGTGCAATAATGGTTTTGCACCCAGCCGGTCGGCTAAGGGCAGCCTCAGAGCCCCCCAGCCCTGCACACTGGGCTCTGGGCTTCGGCCGCTCTTGGCTTGCTGCTGCTGATCGCCTGGGGAGGGTGGGGGGCATTGCAGAGCCCAAAACCAACAGCTGCTGGGTCACACCTCGCTCCCACTGCAGCCCAGAGGCCCAGCCGTGACTCCAGCGCAGCTCAGAGTCTGGCCTGGGGGAGCCCGGCCCAGCAGAAATCCTGTCCTGGGCTTGGCAGAGCAGGTCCGAGGGCCTCGGACTACCCAGGACAGAGTCCAGAGGGTCGTCAGATGCAGAGTAGCTGGACAGGGTCCCCCGAGACCTCCAGTCCTGGGCTCGGGGCAGCCGGTGGGAAGCTGTGAAAAGTGAAAGCAGCACATGCAACACAGCATCACCACAAACGCACACGGGCCCCAGAGACCACGGCGCAGCTAGGGCTCCCTGCCGTGCAGATGGCACGGATGGCATGTAGCCGCAGGGCAACGGAGGGCCCTTCACATGGAGCCGAGGGCTGCAGTTAGCACCGAAAGGGGCACTTTGGCCCTTTCCTGCTTCTCAGTACTGCAGACAGGAAGCCCCGGGTTTTTTCTGTCCTGTGGTGTTTTGCTTGCTACTAAGCTTCGAAATATCAGGAAGTTCAAGCCGCTGCATCCCTGGCTGCACTGGGGGCTCTAGCAGAGGTCCGTGGATGCACGTCATCAGACGGACAAGGATGCAGAACCTCGCACCCGTGGTTCCTTCCTCCGGAGGGTTAATGAGACATTCAAGTGAAATGTGCATTCACAAAAAATAACCCAACCCCCCCGCCAGTCCAGGCCAGCCAGGCAGGAGAACTTGGCTACAAATCCCTTCCCTTGCAATGGCTCAGCCTTCCCTGTCCTAAGTCCTGCCCGGCCCTGATTTTATGAGCTGACTAACATCCTGGAGCCTCCCAGAGCTGGCCAAGTCTGCCCTCCCAGCGTGCACAAATGGCTCGGAAAAACAAAGCCGCCTAGGGATGAAGGCGTGGGGCCCCGTGTCAAGCACCAGCACACAGCTGGGGACAGGGGCAGCTCCCGCAGGTCTGAGGGTCCTGTGTCAGGGGACCCCTGGGTGCCCAGGCCTATAGCACCTAAGTAGGACATGGCCCCTGCTACTTCAGAGCTGCCTGCAGGACCAGGTCCCAGGTGCAGACTGGCCCGTTCCCGACCCCCAGCAGAGAGCACAGCATACACCTTGCTAAAAGCACGGTCCCAGAGGCAAAGCCGAGGCCCGGCCCCTGCTCCTGGGTGCATCCACCTGCTCAGACTTGCTATGGGCTTCTCCCAGCACGGGACTTGGCCCCAAGATGCTGCAGCTTTCCAGCTGGAAGCACGTCCCCTCTCCCTTTCTGGCACAGGGTGGGGGGACGCTTTGCTCAGGGGTGCAAGAGGAGGGTGCTCCCATCCCACTGCTACTGCTGGGGCCCACACGACAGCGCCGACACTATGGGAGCGAGGACACCAATCTCCCCATCGACACAGTCTCACCAGCAGAACGGCAGAATCGGCCCCTACATGCCATTGCCAGCTCTGCCACTGACTCGCCACATACCCTTGGTCAAGTCACTTCTGTGCGCCGTGCCTCAGAGAGAAGGAGGCCCCTGTTAGACACAGAGGCTGGCTAGGAAAGGCTGCACCAGCACTGCCCTGCCTTCGTCATAGCAATGCTCTGGACCAGGGCAAAACAGGTTTTACAACAGAGCTGATCTCACTAGGGAGCAGGGCCCACAGCACAAAGCATCCAGTCCTGGCATCCACTTGGCTCTTGCCGGGTCCCCACGCTCAATCCTCCGACCAGCCTGAGGCCGTGGCTGGGTCTGAACAGTGACGTCTGCTGAGCCATGGAGGAAGCCAAGCAAGGGGAGAGCCCTCCTCACCAGGCTGGTGACAAAGCAGGCATGGGCTCAGGGCTGGTGTCAGCTAATGGGACACGGGTTTGCTGCCTGGACAGGACTGGTCCGGCTCAGCCGTGCTCACAAGAAGCATGTGCCAGGGAGCTCCCGGTGCCAGGGACAAGCCTGGAGCTGACTCGGCTCTGTCCATGGGCAGCCACGCTGCAACGGGCACTGCACCAAGATGGCCACCGCGGGCCCAATCTTGGACCCCAAGGAGGGCTCCACTCCCCACCCTCTATGTCAGGCACATCAGCTGGTGCCAATCCCACAAGAGGCACGGGAGCCTGGCCGGCCTCCTCCCGACAGACCCCCAGATCCCAGCCCCAGCCAGCGAAGTGTCCATCTGGTCCCTGGACCAAGCCACGTCTCTTCACAAAAGCAGAGCACCGATTTACAAAGCCTCAGACACAACGGTGCCTGGGGAAGGAGGTCCCAGGCATGGCCAGTTTCTTACCTTGGGGGGATCAAAGAGCTCCAGGACGTGGTCCTCGCCGTCAGCCGCCCCCGCCTTGCGCAGAACCAGCCGGCACCGCTGCCACCGCGTCCCGCTGTCCATGGAGGTCTCATCCACCAGCCCGTACCTCAAGAGACCCTCCTTGCGTGCCTCGGGGGCTTGCTCCCGCGACCAAGGCAGAATCCTCCTGCTCAGGCCAGGTTTAAGCACAGGTTCGGAGGCCTCCCTTTCCCCACCCTCGCCAGAGATGGCCTCTGAGGATCTCCGGCGGAAGAGGTTGCGCCAACTCCTGCGCAGGTGGGTGAAGGAGAAGTGCCGGCGGGCAGCCAGCGGGGAGGCGGGACCCGTCAGCTCCTCGGAGCTCCAGGCCTTGGGCAGGCCGGTCGGCGTAATGTCAGGGGTCCTGTCAGCTTGGTCGGGGCGGGCGCTCAGCTCCACCTCTGCCTTGGCAGCCACCGTGCCCAGAGAGCCGTCCGTGTGGCGCCGGCCCGTCTCCCGGTAGTCCCGCACTCGGCTGAAGGGCAGGAACCGGTACTGGCTCATGGCAAAGCCCTCCTTCACCTCGTTGCAGAAGTACTGCTGGAAGAGGTGGGCGAACTGCACCGAGAAGCTCTCGGCCGCCAGCAATTCATGGTGGGGGTTCTCGTGGGCGAAGCGCAAGTACTGCCGGGCGAGCTCCCGGGCCGTGCTGATGGCGTGCAGCTCACAGAACTCATGCCAGCCGCGGGGATGCGCTGGACGGCCGGCCGCGAGCGCGTGCCCATTCATTGCCGTGGCTGGAGCGATTCCGGCAGGCTGCAAAAGACAAAGGGCAGAAGGCGAAGTGAGGGGTCTTCCTGGACGAGCCGCAGGGCGAGGTTAGGAGCCAGGGGGCCGCATCGTGTCAGCTTGTCCCCACGGCTGCTGGAAGGGGAGCAGGGGAGACACGCCACGGAGCCCTGGAAACAGCGCTCCCACGGCCCCAATGCCCAGGGCCATGCAGGACTGAGGGAGAGCAGCCCCAGCCCCCCTCATCCCCAGGGGTTTTCCCCCGGCCGTACTCAGACAAACACCCAATTGCTGCAGGGGGAAAGGATTTGAGGAACTGGCCATGTGCAAGCTGAGCTCAGAGGACAGAAGGCAAGAAGCTGCTTTGAGGAAGAGCTGCATCCTCCCTGCCTCTGCCTGGGGTAGTCGAGGTACAGGGAACGGGGCCCAGAGAGGCTGGCTATAACCCAGGCGCAGGGGCCACGATGCCCTGCTCTCTCTGGTGCCCGCGGCATCTTAGTGCCAGGAGCAACACGAAACACCTTGCTTCCCCCGCAGCGAGGTGCTCCTCTCCAGGAGCAAAGGGGAGGTGGCCTCAAGAGCACATCACATTGCTGCCCCGTGCCTTGGTATCCCTGCCTCTCAGACGACGCAACCCCCGTTGGCCAGGCGTGCCAGGAAGCAGATCCCCGTTGCACAGAGCTCCTTTCCATGCCAACCCAGGTCTGGCTCTACTGCTGGCTGACAGCCGCGTTGGGTTTCACCTGCGTCTCCAGTCTCGTTTCTCCAGAGGCCGAGCTGATAGAAACCGAGCCCCTGGGCGGGAAGCCAGGCCAGGAGCAATCACAGCACTTGCTGCATGATGGGAGCACCTGTCCCAAAATGGGGACATGGGTATGCAGGCAGGCCAGCCAGGGCCAGCTACCTGGAGGCACTGAGCCCCGGGGCGGGGGCAAGCGCCTCCTGTACCACTCAGACAAGGCCTCAGAGCCTTTCCAGCTACAGAAGCCATCTCCCCCAGGCACGCCCCTGCCCTCCGAAACCCTCTGCTCTTCTGGGCACAGTGCCCCCAAGCCAGGCACCGCTCCCAAACCACCTGGGAGAGGCAGCACATCTTGTAAGTCACCTGCCCACAACCCCCGGGAATTTCACCTGCCAGGGCTCTCCATACACAGGACTGCGCCTTGCTGCCCAGCGCTTCGCCCAGCAGGGAGGAGGGGGTTTCCAGCGTGTCGGTTTTTTGCAATATTCACTCATGGGCTGCAAACCTCTGGTATTGCAGCCGGGCCCGATCCCCACTGGCTTATCTCCGTGTCTCCATCACTGGCTGGAAAGGTGCAAAGCAGCGCAGGCAAGGACTCTGCAGGCAGCCTTGACCTTGAGGAAGATCCCAAGGCAGACATGGGCCACCTGCCCCCTTCCACTCCCAAGCACAGCTCTGGGCATTTGGCCTGGTTTTCCAGGAGCTGCTGGGTCGAGGCCTTTGCTTGGCAGGGTCGAACCCGGGCAGCTTTCATCCGTGCCACCAGCTGAACCAGAATAAGCCCGAGGCCGGGGCTCCCATCCGTGCTTTCTGCGCTCCTGTGTCAGCTCCGGCTCTGTTCGCCAGCCCTCAGCCTTTGCTGCATCCTTCCTCCATGGGCCTCCGCTTGCATCTCTCAGGTGGGCCTGGCAAGGCGGCAGAATAATGATGCAGAATGAGCACCTGGGTAACCCTCTCCTCTGCAAACCGAAGCTGCTCGCCATGCTCTCCGGGGACAGCCCGTGAAGCAGCCAGACCTCCAGACCCTTCCTCTCCAGGGCGGATCGCTCGCCGGACAATCCTGCAAGGAGACGGCTGGCGCTGGCGCTGGGGCAGGCACTGCTGGAGCAGAGCCCACCACAAAGGCACCTTGCTGTTTATCAGCCAGGCTCGCGGAGCCAACTCTCTTCGTGCTGCCAGTGCAAGTCAGGAAGGAGGCGGCAGTGAAATCCGCAGTCAGGGGCCAACGTCAGATCAGCCAGAGTCCTCTCTCCTGAAGGCAGCAACACAAACGGCGTTTTTATTTCTTCATAGCCGTGGCGGCTCCGCCGAGGTCTGGTGGCACACAAGAGAGGCCTGGATTCTGGTCCGGCAGGTGTATCCGTCACTCAGGCTCACCCCCGCCGTGCTCACACAGAGGAACCGGGCTGCTGACAGCCACCACCTACAGAGCTTGGGCCTGGGGCTCAGGCTATAGCGGCTTATGCTTTTAGTGCCGGAGGCCCCCGGTTCAGCACCGCAGGCCTCTCGCATCCCCCCAGGGAGCCACCTGATCGGATGGGCCCCGCATGCCAATACAAGTGCACGTTACACCCAAGAGCTGCAGACGTTTCCTCAAAGAGTCCCACTGGCCTGCAGACCTGGTGGCCTCCTTTTCCAAAGCCATCTTTCCCCGGAGCAGATCTGCCGGGCCGGCCGGGGGAGGCAGACCCCACCACGTGCCAGAATCCCTCCAGTCACCTTCCACCATCCTCCAACGCTATCACGTTCCTGCAGAGAGCTGCAGGTGCGCAACAGCCTGGAGACCCAGCGCCCCGGCTCGCTGTCCTGGGCATGGACTGATCTCACACGGGTCAACCCAAGCCACCTGTGTTAGATCTGCAATATCCCACTCGCCCCTCTGCCGTGGCAGGCTGGGCTGAGCTGGCGGACCACCGTACCTTTTGTCTGCATGGAGCATTTATCGGAGCCAGCATGCTGTACGAACAGGAAACACCCTCCTCTCGCACCGAGCTACGTATCCTGCCATTCCCGGGCTGCGCCTGGCCAGACCCCGGACCGACGGCAGGCGGGCAGCGGCTGGCTTCTATTTCTTTCGAGGCATCCAAGAGGGTCCCTGGCTTGCCCAGAACAAGCCAGGAAACCGGGTGCTCAACACAGCCGTGGATGCGTTCCCTCCTCGTCTGTAAGTGGTGGCGTGACAGAGCTGTGACCCGTCGGGAAGCAGGACCACAATCTACGCAGGCCTACGGGACTCCCTCTGCGGCGGCGGGGAGATCGTATCGGCACCGCGCCAGCCTGGCATTGCCCAATGCGCTCCGAATCGCCGCAGGCGCTCAGGACGTTGCTTGACCTGATGGGACACGAGACGACACAGGAAGATGGCAGCCCCGGAGCAAGAGCTGGGCGCAGCGTGGATGTGCGTCAGCGTGACCGTCCGAGCCATTCACCCCCGCTTGGGCCCCCTTCTATCAGCGCTGCCAGCCTGCAAGTGACTCAGCATCCTCCGGCACGGCGCTCGCTTCCTCCCGCAGACAGCACGCGTGCTCGGCCTGCACGATGGCAGCCGGCTGCTCCGGCGTGGAGACTCCGGACGGGCTCAACGGGGAGGCGCCAGGCCGCCTTCCCCGACTGCCCCGGATCCGGAAAGGCCGTGCAGGATCCCAAGCCCCACGTTCACGGCTGCGCTGGAGCCACAGAGACCCCGATTCCTCGGTGGGCTATGCGGCAGGGGCGCCCAGGGTGGGGGAGCTGAGCCCCGCGGCAGAATGCGACCCGTTCTGATGTAACAGATACACGTCCCCATCACGTGACCTCCTGTTCCCAGACGGCCCCAGGTCCCGGAGGCAGCAGAGAGCACACCCATTTCAGAAGAGCAGGGAAAAGCCATTAGAAAAAGCTTGGTAGAGGCATCTTCCGCACTAGAGGAAGGTATCTGGTTACAGATGATTTGCTCACAATCTGGGACAGATCTTCCACCCACCTCCATTAAGGAGCCAGCTGCATTTGCACGTGAATTGGGTGAAGGTGGTTTGCACGCCTAAGTTTCCTGCGACATGCACAAAAGCAGGGCCCAGGCGCACTGCTGGGCTGCTGGAAGCAGGAGGGGGAAGCCAGTGGAAATGTGTTTCAGAGTACAATGTACTTTTTTAGCCATGGGTACAGTAGGAAACACACTCCCAGCGCTTCCTCTGTTTTAAAGGTTAGCTCAGGATGTTGAGCTAGGACTTCTCATGCGAAGGCTCAGATACCAATAGCCTGGGATACAAAGGATACGCGGTATCTCACCTCTGGTGAGAACAGCACCTCAGATATCACCTGGCAGCGAGACCTCAGCATCGTGAGAGTTGTATGCATTGAGGTCAATGGGGGGAACGGGCCCCAGTCCCACTAAACTGCTGCCCTGTCTCCAAGATTAGCTTCCCAGAAATGTCCACAAACCCCGCCGTGGGCAGAGGACCTGCCTGTCACGATGATCTGATCCTAAACCCTAACACCAAGAGTACAGCTTCACTCCTGAACCAGGACATTCCCACATCCACAGACCTGACCTCCTCCTCCTCCAGACCCCGTGATTTTTCCGCATCTCACGGAAATAAGCTCCACTCTCCAATTATGTGCTGGAGGGAAAAGGACTTCCTGATGTCAGATGGGCTTGATTTTCCCCTCTGTTGCTTTGTTGCAGTCCAGGAAGCCGGGAGATGGCAGGCAGCTGTGGCCTGGGGCAGGATAGTCCCCCAAGAAACACAAACACACAGATCCCAAGGCAGTGAGGAAGCTCTCAGGACCAGGCGGCAAGGGATGGAAACCCTGACCTAGCGTGCAGCCGGCTGTTTGAAGCACGGCACGTAAAACCCTCCTGTGCACATGCCCAAGAACAAGCTGGATGTATCATTATTATTAATTCTCCGCAGGGGAGTAAAAAACCTACGCTGTGAAATACAGCATGCCCCGAAACACGCACCGGGGGCGCTTGCCCTGTTACAGGATGAACTTGACCTCCAGCAAGCACAGCTCCAGGTCACGGTGACATTTGGAGCCACTTCCCCAGCCTCGAGGGGGGCCTGGGAGCAGAGCACAGAGGCCTCCACCTGCCGGACAAGGGTCAAACCCGGCTGCAGACAGGGAGGCCCAAAGCTGTGAAGATCTGCCCTGGATTAGCACTGCACCGACATGCCCAGGCAATGCAGGGCTTCTCCAGGCCTGTAACCATCTCCCTCCGACTCCGCAGGCTGCTAATCATCCAAGGGGTGTTCATTCGACGCTTCGACAAGGGACGTGACAACATCTGTCAGGGAGCCAGGCCCAGAAACATGCCTCGAGAGAAAGGGGAAGTGAAGCTGTGCACCTTTTTTTTCTTCTCGACGATAGCTCAAGTTCTAGATATGAAAAAAAAAAACCCCAACCCTGCTCTCTGTTTGTTTTGTTTCCTGACAGATTCAGGTCTCCTCTACCACGGAAATCTGCACCAAGAGCCCAGGCGGTGGGCTTCACGTCCACGCGAGCAGTGGGAGAATGAAAGCTGGCCTGCTCCAGTGGGGAGGGGGATTTATCCAGGTTTTACTACCACCTGGGAGAAAGCCTCTTTGGGGAGCCTTGTGCAATGCTGCCCTTTCCTCTCCCAGCTGAGAAAGCTGCTGATAAACCTTTCTGTGACATCCAAATGAGCTGACGACAAAAGGAAGATTTCACACTACCGACATTTCTCAAGACACACCAAGGTGGGGTGGGGGGAGAAGAGATTTGAGCCCACTGTTCATACTATACAAAAGCAAAGCCACCCCTCTCCCTAGGCAGGTCACAAAGCAAGGGGAGGATGCCCAGCACCACTTCCACATTTCCCCGTGCTCACAAGGGTGTTTTTTGGGTGACTGCAGCTTCTCGCCCGGACTGCAAGCAAACCTGTTACAGGAGGCTAGCAAGTCTCTCTCTGCTCAAATTAAAAAGACTCTACATGACTGCTGCCAGAAGTATTGATAGTATCAACATGACCACATGATCTCCTGGGCTCAAGTTCCCGCGACTGGCACCGATTCCCAGGGAAATCAATGGAGCTTTCTCCACTCAGACGAGAGGCAGCAGCTCCATTATTACCCCTCTGGCCCCTTACCCCTCTTACCCCTCGCCGCGGGGCCAGCGAACAGGGCTGTCTTCGGCACCGACCCCAGGACCCGACCCGCAGACCTGGCTCAGGGCAAGCTGTCAAGGAGAGACACGAGGGCGGTGGGATGGGACTTCCCATCCAGCGCACATGCAAAGGTGACCCACTGACTTTCAAAGCACGCCATCAAAGAAAACGTGGCGCAAACGCAGCACCTGTCAAACAGGACCATCAAAGTTTCTGGACCCGAAGAACCAATAAGGCGTTCCTTTTTTTTCTGGCTGTCCTGCCAGGATAAACTGCTTGACCGCCGCATGCAGATCCAGCAGCCCCGAACACTGCAACCCTGAGCTAGGGCTTCTCAACTCGAAAATGAAACCAAGTCTCCTGCTTCCATCCCCGGGGCCGAATGCACAGAAAAAGCAAACACTCCCTGTAAACAGCAAGGGCAGACCAGGTTCTCATAATTCCCTTGCTTTTTGCAGAACTAAGGGCTCTTTGCAAGGCAGAGGAGGAAGCCAGGGCTTTCCGGCTGCATGGTGTCTCACTCAATGGGCTCTGTTTAAATGCTAGGACTATTTAATCCCCAGGCTAGGTCCGACTTACCTCTTGCCGCACTGGTGCGCTCGGTACCCTTGGAGTAAAGCCATCAATCCCTGGTGGGTTAACATGCGTGAAGGGGACTATTCCGAGCCCCTCGGAGGGACAGGCGGGCTGGCAGCGCGCTGGGCACAGAGGCTGGCTCACAACAACGGGGCTTTAGAGTCAGATGGAAACTGAGCCTCTTGGAGATGATTTCATCACAAAGAGGGAGCAGCCAGGGAGAAGTCTTTGCCTTCCTCAGGCAGCTCTGCAAGCTTAAAGGGAGCACCCCGGCAGCGAGGACGTGCTGCTGTCCCCATGCCCCCCACCTCTGTCTGGATGCTGGCAGGTGGATGCTGCCCCTCCAGCAGTTGCAAGGTGTCCCCTGCCTCCCCCTTCCCTGCCCCTGGAAGGTGCATGTCACCTGGCTCCACGGGTCCTCACGCTTCCCAGGCCGCCCCGTCAGCCAGATTCAAGCCCCCGCGCCGGGTCCTGCATTGCTGCAGCCTCATGCCAGGCGCTCTCTGTTTCCTAGAAGGCAGGGTAGATTTGCACCTTCTAGATACACACACGCATGCACGTATATTTATAGCACAAGCCTTTGCGTGCTGAAGCTCACTTTGTCAGATGCTGCAACTCTGTTTCCTGCCCTAGCTTCCAACTTAGGTTCCCCTGCCACAATGAACCGGCTCTTTCAAGCAGGCGGAAAAAAAAAACAAACCAAAAAAAACATACGCCAGATAGTTTGAAGACGGTCATGGCTTCGGAGCCTAGCTGAACCTGGCTGGATGCGGCGCAGCGACCCCCCCGAGGCAGTGCCAGAGCTCTGCAGGCTCCCAACAGCAGCCCGCGTCGAAACCCCCTTCGCCGCTCCAGGGTTACAGGCAGCTGGATCCAGGGAGAAGAGGGGATGGGGTTACCCACGTTGCCTTCGCAAGCAAGTGTCCGGTGTCAGGTCGGATGCTCTGCGCACGCTCCTCAGAGCTGGCCCTGCGGATCCAGGCACACATCCCCCCCAACACGCACCTGTCTTGCAATCCATTATGAAAAGAGCAGCCCTGACCCAGAAAGGAGGACGGCCTGGCCTGAAACACCCCGGCGTGCTCGATACGTGGAAGCAGGGCTGCAGCGCGGAGGCTGTCTCTTCCCCCTGCCTCGGGGGCACTCGGGTGCTGTCTGACGAACCTTCCCCTAGATCCTGCCCGTTGCGCGCCCCGGCCCACACCAGAACCATCTTCTGGACCGGGCCCTGGGAGGTTTCGAGCGCTTAAAATTTTTTTTAAAAAACAGCCGCTGGGACGTCTCCCAGCATGACTAAAAACACTCAGACTCCTGCTCCTCCTTACAGGCTGGGATAACCAAACTGACTCGGGTGGAGTTACTATCGATTTATACAGGAAAAGCAACCCAAGCCGTACGCGCACACACTTACACAACAGCCTCCGGGAGTAAACGGGCCGATCCTCATCGCCATCCAACACCAGCCTAGAGGAGCACCACCAGCTTTGCTCGCTCTAAAAGCCTCCTAGCGAGCACGTGCTGCTGACAGCGGACAAGGGCACCCGTAGCGCGGAGGGGAGATGAGCAGAGCGCGCGCGGGGCTGGGGAAAGCAGGCGGCCTGTGTTCCCAGAAAGGCACACGACCGGCGAGAGCAAGGCATGTTTCCCTCCCTCCCAACACGCCTTTTAAACATGAACATGCTTCAAAGACCGGCTACAAAGGCAAACATGCCAAAGCCGCACTCGCTTAGCCAGATGTGCGAGCGGAGCGTACGGGACTTCAGTCAGCCAGCACGCGTGCAGACCAGCCCTTTCACGCTGGTGCGTGTCCCAGTACAGCTCGCACGAGTCAACGTACAAGCACCAGGCGAGACAGAAGATCCAGTTCCAAACGGGGCCCAAACCCGGTCACTCGGGCCCGTTTCACTTCATTTAATTGCAATGAAGCTAGGCCAACATCCCGACAAGC